TATTCCCGTATATAAGTTGATGTTTGACAGCTGTTTTTATATGGGGGGGAATAAGTTGAGGATAGCGGTATGATCATGTAATAAAATTGAAAATGTCTTTTTAGCTAAAGAAGTTTCAGCTAAATCCATGTGGTAACATAACCTCTACATAATAAAACTACACCTATTCTATCCAAATAAAAGCTATAATTACATTGTAGATTAAGTGTTCATGCATTGTGGTTATTAAAAAAATACATTTTAACCCCAAAAGGGTCATAATATTGATAGCCTTCAGGTTCAAGAATTGTGCGATAAATTCATGTATTGTAACAACGAATGGAAGTATAGTGAAGGAATTTTTCATTCAGTTTCATTCAGTTCAATATTACAGTGTTGGTTACTATAAACTTATTGGCAGTCACCAAATAACATTATTGTAAGCGGTTTTATAAATTCTGATTAGCTGAATATAGAGGCAGTTAGATCTTGGAAGAAATGCTATATTAGTTGTAATACAGATCTTATTAGACATTATGGATATCATCCATAAAAATAGAAGACTCATTCTACTAAAGACTGACGAAATAACTTCTTCTTAGATGCAGCTGCTGCCTACAGGATATACCCACACAAACAAACAAAACCATTACATGATGTCAAAACATTCAATAGTTAATGTGAACAAAGTCAGATTTGTTTTGATCATCTTTTTGAACCCAAACTCTAGTTTAAGGGTCTTGTAAAACTTCAAATTCCACCAGGTTTAGCCACCCCTGCTTATGATGTTATATAAGTATGCATCTGATGAATTGTGAAGCATGAAGTTAAAGGTATAATGAGACACCCTGCAGTATGTAAAAGAGGAAGGATTGTCTTGCGGCTAAGGGGTAAGCTTGGGGGTGGTATTTTGTACTGTGCATCTAAAAGGAGCAGCACAGAACTTGCTGCCCAGGGGAGGGGGCTTTCAGTCCCAATCCTGGGCTGCTTTTGGGGCCTGAAGAGGCACCCCAGTGTGACTTACAGAATCATAGGACTGGAAGGCACCTCGAGAGGTAATAGAATGCAGTTGCCTGCATTCATGGCAGAACTAAATATTATCTAGACCATCCCAGACAAGTGTTTGTTTGACTTGCTCTTAAAAATCTCCAATAATGGAGATTCCACATTATGGCCGTCTCCCTTGGTGCCTGGATTAGGGGAATTCTCTCCCAGCCAGAGCTGGGATGTTTAAAGCTCCACTCTGGCTGTCACTGTTACCTGGCATAAAGGGGCCAGAGAAGAGGGCCAGGATCTCACTCTAGGAGTCTGGAGATCCATCAATTGTTTCCTGCTCTGCGCAGACATTCGATGGACAAGTCATAGACTATATTTGTGCCTCAGTTTCCTCATCTACAAAACAGGGATAATATTTATCTAATAGTGAGAAGTGTCTGTAAAATATGTAGTGAAAGGCACCATGCTGGCATGCACTTACTAATTCTAACCCTCGTGAGATAGACTGCGTAATATACTGCCTCAAATCATAGTCAGCTCTCACATCCGGGCCCTCAGCCTGAGCCGTGGATAGAACAAGGGAAAAGTGAATGAACTGAGCATATTGTGAGGCATTTAGCCAAGGACTGATTGCTCTCAACCACCTGTGAACTGCAAGGAATACTTGTGGAGAGTTACCGCTTTTATATATTTTTTCAGTGTGCTTAATTGTATGAGTTTATCCAGATACCTGTAGTACTCCAAACCTTATTAGGTAATCAAACATATCATTTTATACAGCATATTTAATAAACTATTATAACAACATCTCACAAAAATGAACCAAGCAAGTGCCATTATGATGGAGGCTCAAATTCTAGGATAAACATCCCAGCTTTTATACTTACAGGATCAACCCAGCTATTACAGTCAGAGGATTAACCCAGATCTTATAGTCAAAGGCTTTTCCAGAGCAAAGTTTGCTAATTTTAACAAAGTCCAAAGCAAAGTCCTTTTGCTCTGCACTGACATTAATGATCCGGAGGCTCTTTTGAAGGTTTGTTTAAACCAGCCTGCAGTACTTTTGCGGCATGAACAAACATCCTCTATAGAATGGGTCGAAGCCCATTTCATTTATGACTAAACCATGTTTCTGTTGAGAGCCTCTGAAACTGAGAGGCTAGTGTACTTACCTACCTATGTGCCACAGCTGGGGGCTAGATTCATAGCTGGTATAAGTTGGCCTAGATCCGTGGGTTCCAATGGAGTCACACAAATCTCCACCAAGTGAAGGTCTGGCTCTGGGAGTTTAAAGGAGGATATGATGGCACCATGGCATTGAATCTCGAAGACTAACAGACAATTAGATTTTTTTCCCCCCTACAATACTTGACATGAGTCAGGCAGGCCAGATAACATTTTAGTTGGTGGCCTGCAGTTCCATCTAATTGACCACCACACTAAATGAAGGGGATACCCAGGAGTCTCCTGGCTTTCTCTGCTCCCACACAAACAAACAAAAGTATGGTATAACCCCTCCAACAGGATCCATGATCCAGGATGAACCTCTGCTACCGAAGCAGCATTTTATCTGCCTGTGCTTTGCTTCGGGAGCAACCAAGTCCTGATTTGTCAGGAGAGCATAAAACAAGCAGTCACCAGAAATCCTCAGGGTCAAAACACCTAGAAAACGGGCTAATCATGTGCCCTCGGATCCCCCCCACTCTCTAGGGTTTTCCTATCTTTGAATAAGATCGGTCTTGACCTAAGGTTTAAGGTCCCATAGCTTCTTCACAATCCTTCTAGGCAGGGCCTAGCAGTGGTAAGGACCATCTGTGGAATATCAGGCACAGAACCAGAATAGCTGGTTCTCCATCATCTCCTGCAAGAGGCCCCAGTTTAGAAGGTATGCTGGGGTCAGGAATGGATGTGGTTGTGGTATTCCTACACCTCACCTCTTCTTTGGCAGAACAATGACCATAGAGACTGTTTCAATCAGATCACAAGCTAGGGCAGCCCACAGGGCAGCTGTAAGCTGTGCTGCTTGCTGCACCAGTACTGTATAAGGGAAGCATATTGTTCCCTTGGTCATTGTGCCAGGTTCAGCACTGGTGCAGGGATGGATTGGAGCCATAATCTCAACACATGTACATTTCCTCAGTCCCAAATGCAAAGATATTTCATGTAACCATATATTGTCTTAATTCTGACCTCCCTGACTTTCCTTTGACGGTTACTGTTACTAGTCTTGGTCCACTCATGAGTCAAATAATAAAGGGAATAACATATGTAATTATCCCACGCATCATTTGGGGAATATGTGCAATGGTCCAGATCCTCAGCTGGTGTAAATCAGCGTGGCACCACCGATGTCAATATAGCAACACCACTTTACACCGGCGGAGTATCTGACCCAATAACACTACCTTATACAGTGTTACTTCCTCCAAGGATGATGATATTCTGATACCTAACTACATACACACAACAAAAAGACAGTGGAAAAAATGAGGTCATCTGAAACCAGCTTTCCAAACACACTAATTGATAGGATTTCATGGGAAGCCCAAATGGGTGTGCTTGGAATCAGTTAACGTGGCAAAGAAGATACCCAGCTTACAATAAGAAAGCATCAGAGATGCATGTTATCTTCCCAGCCAGAGTGTGATCCTGCATACCCTGTCGCATTAACTTGTGGTAGTCAGAAGTAATTCTCTCTCTGGGATCTAATGGCAGCCTGAACAAAATGGCAACTCCTGTTGCCCCACAGGAATGCAATCATGTTATCTCCTGATAATGCAAGAGACAACGTGTGTCACCACTAGGTTTGTGGTGACAGTGATGGAGCATTTGCCTAGGCTGCAATCAATGACTTGGACTTAAATTCATTATGTCTAAAACCCACAGCACAGTTTACAGAATATTATGATGGAGACTTAGAGATATATGAAAAGAATCCTGTCTGTAGCACAAGTTGAGGTCTGCTCTTTGAGCATGTGTGTGTACAGAATGTATTACACACACACACACAATACTCCATATACTGTGTGTGTATTACACCCCCGCATATATATTGTGTATGTGTTTTATATATCATGCATACACACAGTATAGTATAGTCATTTTAAAATAAACTCTAGCATGCTTGATGCAAGGACAGATCAAAAGCCAAATCCCCCTTGTTTTATTCAGATGAATAATCCCATTGAATTCCAAAGGATCCCTTGACTGAGTTAGTCCAGCAAGATTTGGCCCCAAATATAGAGTTTTCTTTTCATCATTGGATACAAAAGCATTGTGTGTGTGTGTGTGTCTGTCTGTCTGTCTGTCTTTCCCCCTCTTTCTTACATGCATACAGGTATAAAGGCAATCTTTTCTACTTGCAGCAAAAATAAAAATAATTGGGCTGATTTTCAATTGGGCTGCAGCTCTCATGGACTTCAATGGGAACTGGGATTGCTCAGTGCATTGGAAAAAAACAGGTCATATTTTAATATATATATAGTATATGCAAAAATTAGATGCACATATGTACACACCCTTTCTGCAGAGACGTATGTATAAGATTTACACTGCTATGTATGCTTTATAATTGCACATGGCAATTAAACCTTTACACACACACACACATGCACACACACACACACTCAAAAGCTAATGCTTCGATGCTAGAGTGACCGACACTATTAAAATCCAAGCCAGCTATGTAGACAGCAAGACCTCTTTTAATCCATGCAGTGCACACCCATATCGTCAGCAATTGGCATCTTATCATTTTGTATAATAAATAACAGCATTTAATAATAATACACATGCACACCCTCCTGCCTCTCTGCTACCTACGCCATTTCAGTAACAATGTCCTGTATATGAGAAAGACACAGGATGAGGAACAGGCAGGACATGATTAGCTGAAAGAGATAGGCTCCGGCAGTGAAAGCTGCTGCATGTCGGAGCAGGTTCTTCCCAGCTTCCAGACGTGTGATCTGCATGTCTAATAATGAACAGATTTAGTCAATCCATCATTTCTGGCATCAGTCCCTTACCTTGAAATGCTGTAGTTGAAGTATCTGGTCCTCAAGCTGTTGTCTCTTGCCTTCTATTTCTGTCTGCCTTTTCCGTTTTTCCTTGGGAAAATAAAGAGAGAGCACGTCAGAGCGATGGGTGCCTTAAGGACTGCGGATTCTTAAAAGAGAATTTAAGCAGCCAAGCACATCTGTACAGATGTCACCAATGCCATCCACACAGACATTTCACCTGCTTCTCTGGCTGTGGGTATGCAAACGGCAGCATCCTTGCAACATGTCAGCTAAGGACTAGCTACTTGTTCACTGAGCAGGAGAAATTCTCCTCACTCACATTCAGTCATAGGAACAGCAACTGAGTACACAGTCCTGGAGAGGGAAAAAACCCGGGCATACTAGCTAACAATGGAGTTACCCTTGTGTGTATTATTCTACAAGGTCAAAATTAAGGCTTGCTTGGTGCAAAGAACGACAATAACCCTGTAAAGAAAGCGTGTGATTGCATAACTGATAAAAGAGGAATAATACTAAGATTACAGACCGCATCCTTCTCCCATTGAAGTCCGTGATAAGACTCCACCTGAGTTCAATGGGAACAGCTTCTCTTCAAAGCACTGTATTAACCCATCAGCCAGCTTCAGTGCTGAGTCATTTAAAACACAAATGAAAAATATGTACTTTAAGCAATTGGCACCCTTCTTGGCAATCTTGGCAGAGAAAGCCTAGGACTGAGTAGACCAAACCATTTTCTCTCCCTTAAAAGGGTTCCATGACAGCAGAATTAGTCCACTCGTGAGTGGCTGTGACTGCTTTGCAAAATCTCACTCACTGAGACCCTGGCGCTTTGGCAGGTCTATAGGTGCAACATCCACTTCAGCAGGCAGTGGATTCTTCCTCCCCCCTGCAGCAAGGGACTACTGGCCTCCTCTTCTCAATCCCTTGTTGTTGCGAGGCAGCCACTGATAGCCTCTTCCAGCTTTCCCTCACACCATCAATTGAAGCAGGCTATTGGCCATTTCTTCTGCCCCTCCCTCCACCTGGGTCACTTCAGAGCAGTTCCCTCTTCGCAAATAGGTTGGGCAATGGGGAAATTGTGAGGAGATGGATGCAGAAAGACACAAATGCCCACAAATCAATTTTTACTGGGTCTGTTTTGCACATCCCTCCACCCGTGAAGCCATATGTTTTAGTTATCATGAGCCCAACTTTACAAACCTTAAAGGAAGCCACTAAAAACTTCTAAAAGTGACCTCAAGTAGTTTTGCTATACCAAAAAAGTCACAACTTTGTATCTTGGGGCTTTGCAGTGACAGACACCGGTTCTGGGTGTCCCACTGAGATCCTGGGAATTCTCCTTTTTCCAGTGGTTTACATCTCTCAACCCTGCAGACATGTAGACAAAAGATGTCATTTATCTGGGACTGAATCTTGCCCATCCTGGACATTCGACAGGGGTAATTTTGAGGAAAATGTCCATGTTTATAGGGTGGAGGAGAAAACATTTTTGTAACAGGTTGATTAAAAAAAAATGGAAGCTGCCTGGAACCACTCAGGGGTTTCAGATGTTAAAACAAACCATGAGAGAGCTGGATTAATGAACAAAGGGCAGATAAGGTGGTCAAACAATTATGAACAATTGTTTGAACAATAATAAGTGACTTTGTAATTTGTTACATAGATATCTCCTTTACGTATTTAGTAAATTATATACTTACACAGACACACACTTAACTAAAATATATAAGTATATTATGGCCGGTCACAATTTTTCTAAATTTTTTTTGATGGAAAACTAGGTTTTTACTAAATGAAATTTCTTGAAAAGTGCCTGCTTTCTGCAGAAAATTTAATTTTTTAATCAAAAAAAATCAAACACCTAATCGAAATACTTCGTTTTATGGGATATCTTGCTGTGGTGCTTCATGAGAATTGTAGTTCATTTTCTTTCCAACCCCATTCTCCTCTATGATCTGGGCACCCCAGTTAGACTGTATCTCTCCAGGTGCACCATGGCCTGGGATTCCCATGATGCAACTGCCTCCCTTCACAATGGAAAGTAAGGTGCATCATGGGAGATGTAGCCCAACCCGGGAGTCCAGTGTACAATGAGATCTGGAGCACGTGGCACCCAAACTAAAACTCCCATGAGGTACAGCAATGGGATATCCAAATTGTAATATTTACATATATGGGTGAAATATTTTGGTTTCTGATTTTTCACTGAAAAGTAAAAATTTTCCACAGTAAAGAAGCCCATTTTCTGACCAGTTGTAGAGCATATACATACCTGCATTATCTATAACATATAACGAAAGAGAGAGGATCTGATTCCTATGTACGCTGGTCTGGCAATGTAAAGGAGCCTTCAAGTGAGTGTAAATAAAACTTACACCCACCATAAGGCTCCTTTATTTTGCCAGCACAATGTAAAAGAATCTTTGTGTAAATTAGAGTAGGAATAAAGGGAGGTAATTAGGGGAGCGGAAATTTCCAGAAAACTGAGTAGCTGACTGGAGACTTTCCTGACAATGAGATTTGTCAGGCCGTGGCACCGTCTTCCAAGAGAAGAGGTGAAAACCCCACTATTTGGCACTTTTGAAGCAGTTGCTCAAAGTACTAGAAATAGGGTTGCCAACCTTCTAATTGCACAAAACACTAGCCCCGCCCCTTCCCCAAGGCCACGCCCCCTGTCCTGCCCTTTCCCCGTGCCCTGCCCCTCATTACTACATTCCCCTTCCCTCGGTGGATCGCTCTCCCCCACCCTCACTCACCACATAACATGGGCTAGGGCAGGGGGTTGGGGTGAGGGCTCTAACTGGGGGTGCAGTCTCTGGGGTGGGGCCAGAAATGAGGGGTTCAGAGTGTGGGAGAGGGCTCTGGGCTGGGACAGGGGATTGGGGTGCAGGAGGGGGTTAGGGCTCCGACTGGGGGTGTGGACTCTGGGATGGGGACAGGGATGAGGGGCTTGGGGTGGGGGAGAGGGGTTTAGGGTGTGGGAGGGGGCTCTGGGCTGGGGGCTCCGTCTGGGCGTGCAGGCTCTGGGGTGGGGCTGGGAATGAGGAGTTCAGGGTGCGGGAGGTTCAGGGTGCAGGTTGAGGCAGGCGGTTGGGATGTGGGAGGGTGTGAGGGCTCTGGCTGGGGGTGTGGGTTCTGGGGTGGGGCTGGGGATGAGGGGTTTGGGGTGCAGGAGGGGGCATCAGGCTGGGGCAGAAGAGTTCAGGGTGTGTGGGGAGCTCTGGGCTGGGGTACAGGGTGCAGGCTCTGGGGTGGAGCCAGGGATGAGGAGTTTGGGGTGCAGGAGGGGGCTTTGGGTTAGGGGGGCTCAGGGTTGGGGCAGGAGGTTGGTGCTCAGGGTTGGGGCGTGCGTTTACCTCCAGTGGCTCCCAGTCAGTGGCGCTGCGGGGGGGCTTAGGCAGGCTTCCTGCCTGTCCTGGCTCCATGCTGCACCCCAGAACAGCCAGCAGGTCCGACTCCTAGGTGGAGGTGCAGCAGGCGGCTCTGCGCGCTGCTCTTGCCCGCAGGCACAACCCCTGCAGCTCCCTTTGGCCCGGTTCCTGGCCAACGGAAGTGCGGAGCCGGTGCTCGGGGTGCCGGGGGCTGTGCGCAGAGCCCTGTGGCCCCCCTGCTTAGGAGCTGGACCTTCTGGCCGCTTCTAGGGTGCAGCACAGAGCCACGACAGACAGGGACTAGCCTGCTTTAGCTCTGCAGCACTGCAGAGTGGACTTTTAACAGCCCGGTCGGTGGTGCTGACCGGAGCCGCCATGGTCCCTTTTTGACCAGGTGTTCTGGTTGAAAACCAGACACCTGGTCACCCTAACTAGAAGACATATAATACATACGGAACAATCCCATATTGGCAAAGAAATGGACTCAGTGGTCTTTTCCATCTCTAATTTCTGTGATAATTACATGCAAAAAATATGTGCTTACATAGTAAAGGCTCCTATATGTACACATTTTAATTTCATGCATTTTAAATGTTGCACATATAAAATCTGCACTGAGTAATTTTGCAACTACCTGAACTGTGGCATGCAAATGCCCATTTGTGTCTGCAAATGGGTGTGCACAGAAAATGTGTGCATGCACTTTTTTGGGGGGGAAAATGGCCCTTTATATAAAGTGATATCCACTGGACATTCCCCCCCCCCTCCTTTTTGCATTTTTGAACAGAACAGGAAAATGCATGGCTCAGGGGTTACAAAAAGAACAACATTCTTCATGGTCGCTTCTTGCAATTTTGGGCACTGGGGAAATAATATTGTTGCTTTACAGAGCAAGGGACTCATCAGATCCCATCCTGTATTCTCCTGTCTTATGTTTTCTTTGCTAAAAGAGCCTGTTTGTCTATTTAAGAGAGGAGATTAAAATGATTAGAGCTGCCTCTGTTAATGGCAACAATATTCTAATAAGAAGGATAATTCCCCCTGTTCTTGTCAAGTAAGTTTTTCCTGTTCTGATTTTATTTGAATTGTGTGGGAGTTTGAATCCTGTTGTCCTGAAGCACCATGGGCTAATCTGAACTACACCTCTACCTCGATATAACGCGACCCGATATAACATGAATTTGGATATAACGCGGTAAAGCAGTGCTCCGGGGGGGTGGGGAGGGCTGCACACTCCGGTGGATCAAAGCAAGGTCGATATAACGCGGTTTCACCTATAACGCGGTAAGATTTTTTGGCTCCCGAGGACAGCGTTATATCGAGGTAGAGGTGTACCTACTTCCTAACACTTAATTGACCTATTTTTTTACTCATTGAAAAGAAAGCACTTAATAAAATATGATATAAATCACCAAGGTATTTTCATTGGCTGGTTGTGTCATGCCTTATAATGGATATGACAGGAGAGCCTAATAAAACATAGATTAAAAAATGTCTTTTTTTTTGGTTAAGAAAGCAAAGCACTTAGTGTATTTTCCCCTCAGGCAACAATAGAGCCTGCACTAAAACACTTGATCTACTTACTAACTCGTGGGCATCTGTGGAATTAAATCACAATATTAATCATGTTTCCACTTGCCCGGTTTTCAGTCAGCCGGACTGCATCTCTCCTTCACTTCGTCTTTCACTATGGACCTAGGCTATTGGGTGAGGTAT